TGTGATTTTCGGCCCAGTCTTCATGGCTGTCAGATCCCTGCGCAGGTCCAAGGCTACATCCATGGCAATAATTGCTCTGGACAGAATAGTCCAAAACTAGTCCAGTCTCAAGCTCGATGGCAACTCCAACACCAAAGTGTGAAGTGTGCCCATGCTTATGCCAAGTGCCATCGTATGTCACACAAACGTCCATCAAATCGCCGCTATCTGACTCGCGTGTTTCTCGTACAGCTTCTGCTGCCTTGCTCATTACGTTGCTGGCTGCTCTCACTGAGGCGTCGTGGACCTTTTCTCCCAGATCTTGATAAGATCGGAGATGCATGGGCGAAGGAGCATTGATACCGGCAAAAAAGTTCGTAAGCTTCGTGTATCCGATTCCACATTCACGAGACGCAAGAGAAATCCGTGCTGCCAATTCATTCTGCCGCGAGTGTCCGATGGTCGACGAGTGCGGCGTCCGAGCAACGTCCCCGCAGTCTGGGCAGACGACGACGAATTGCGCCTGAACTCCCTTGCCACTCTCGCTTAGCTGAAGGTCTGATCCACGGCACACTGGGCACAGAAGAGCGGACACCAGTGTCTCGATGGCAGATAAAGCAACCAGACGATAACCTTCGGTTGGGGCACCGTCAGGAGCAGCCGGAGCGTCCGTGGGATCCGCAGCGGGATCGCTCTCTTGCAGTAGCGAGATCTTGCGCTCTATCGCCGTGAGCTCCTCCACAACCTCATAATCTTCAGGAAGAGACGAAGAAACGTCGGCTGGTTGTTCAGAGGTCAGGTCCTGAAGCGACGAACCGGGAGATGGTGACGCGCTCGGGAGCGAAGCAGCCGACGCGTCCGACGTGGTTCCGTTAGGGTTAGCGCATCGTACGCGTCCACCTGACGAGCCTCTTGGTTTCACAGAACGGCGGCGAGCTCCAAAGGCTTGGAGGGAATGCCGTTTAACGGCCGGCATCGCGGCGACGAGACCGTAGATAAAACGATAAAACTGTGAGAAATATATAACGAGCAAGCAAAAGAAGCGAACGTTCGGCCGAAGCAACGAGACGAAACAACAATTCGGGCGAGCGGATCACGTGGGGTGTCACGGACCAATCCAGGCTTGAGTTTCGTTTTTAAGCCAATTATAGCCGACAACTAGAGGGCTCTGGCTTTGTTCATGCTTACTCTCGAACGAAGTTTACTATCGTCATAAAAGCCCGAAGAAACGACGCTTCCAACGAGGGTATCAACATCGCGGTAGGCCAAATGGGCGCGGAGCGGTCGGCATTTGAAAATGGCGAATATTGTCAACCGATCGCGCGACGGACGACTCGGGGATAGGAGGCGCGTCGCCGACCTGTCGAAAATCTTTTATATCTGCTTAAATACTCGACGTACGGGCATGAAATTTTATGGAAGGGTGCATTATTAGTTTCTGAAATCAGATATAACAAATTTGAAAAATGCACTTTTTAAAAAAAAATCGGGAATCGGAGCCCGTGTCCCCCCTTAAAGATACTAAAAATATGCTTGTACAACAAATTAGATATAAACTTAACTCTGCTTTGCATGGGGGTCAAAATATAAAATGTTGTTGGGTGCCCAGTCACATTGGCATTTATGGCAATGAAGAAGCCGACAAACTTGCAGGGTCTGCCGGGAACCTTCCACAATCGCTCTCCTGTCTACCCTATCAAGATATTAAGCCCTTGGTGAAGTCCTCAATTCTTCATTCTTGGCAATTGGAATGGGAAATGAAGTGCGATAACAAGCTTCATGTTACCAAACCTACATTAGGAGTTTGGGAAAGCTCTTCATGCAAGAGCCGACTTCATGAAATGTTGTGCCGGCTGAGAATTGGACACTCATTTATAACTCATAGGTATCTGCTTTCGGGAGAAGATCCACCTGTGTGTGATCAGTGTGGTGACAGGCTCACTGTTTTGCATATCTTGTGGCTGTATCCCGGCCTTCAGCCCAAGCGCCGCATTCATTTCCCTGAATTTTTCCAATATCATATCCCATTTCATCCTGCTCTCCTTGTGGGAGAGAATCCTCTAGTCTCTTTTGAACGGGTAATGGAATTTCTTAGCAGTATTGGCCTTTTACACAGACTCTAGCCTTTTGGTCAGTCAATCTTTTGTAAAACCTTTCCTTTAGTACAATGATCCTTATAATTAGTTTGGCGCAGATGGGCTCGTAGCTTTCGCGCCATTAACCCCCAAAATCTCTCTCTATCCCCTTGAAATCCCAGAAAGTTTCATTAGTTTCACTGGATAGCTAATTTTTTATAAATTATTTTCGATCCACCAATGATAAAGAAGCGATTGAGAGGTTGGAGCATTCTGAACGCATTTCTACCCGTTCCACTTCTTGGCATAAATTTCACTTTAGGAAAAGTATTGTTTGTTAATAGGACAAAAAGGAAAAATGCTTGTTTTTTTGTAACTGAAATTTTATGGGCAATGCAACTCTGGAATTGTTTTTTAATTTTGTAGATGTCTTTTATAAAAGACGTTAAGACTTTGTGGACGACATATAAGGCACAAAATTCCTTTGATTTTTCTCCGCAATGTTAGCATAAAACAAATCACTTTTTGGAAATTTTGCTTTTGCAGTTGCACACTCTAGGCTTTCTGCTGCAGATCTAGTGAAGAAAAACGTTGGTTGTTACATTAGTTTTCTAATGATAGTCTTCCTAAACAGTTAGTGTGCTCCTGATAAAAACGACTAATTTATTTTACAAGTCATGTATATACACAGATGAAACTTTGCGCTGCATTCTTCCTCGCTATTGCCAGTACATACTGTAAATTCCATTTATATTGAGCCGAAGGTTGAAAGGTCGACTGTTTTGGGTAGTGTCCTCCCCCCCCCCCTTAAAGGGGTACAGAAAGAAAAGTTGAAATATTGAAATTTTGTTCACAAATGAGTCAAGCATGACGGATAATGACTGTAAATGATAATTGCCCGTTTGTACTTTGAACGACTGGCTATATTTCTTGTTCCAAACAGTGCACTCGAGCAAGCGCTCGAAGAGAAGCGAACGGAGAGCGTGATGCGTCACGGGATATGCTGCGCAAACAAAAACAGAAAAAAAAAAAAAAATTCGTGACGCATTTGTGACGCAGCAAGGCTGGCGTGGTTATGATCTTTGCCCTTGGTGGCGTTGTCAGCGTTGTGGTGGTGTCAATAGCGTCAACGCTTTACAACCGAGCCGTTCGAAGTACCCGTGGGGTGACGAGCATAAGGCTGACCCAACGAGCACGTAGCTTCCACAACACTGTCAGCTCAGGGGTGAACGGGGTGAGGAAAGCAACTTTTGTCAAAATTTTGAGCGACCGGCTAATCTTCTAGGGGGAGAATGGCTGTATTCGGGTGCACACATGAGGGTTTGGTACAATGCGCAATTTGTGAGTTGAGGAAAGTCATGAAGAGGGAAATGTTGAAATCCAAAGAGTGGCGCTGCTGCAATGGAACTTGCTACGTCTTGAGTACGTATCACATTCCCCAACATCGCTAGATTACCTCTCAAATAGGCTCCACATGCATCCACCAGGTGCACATTGAAAGATAGTTTAATTAGCTTTAAAATTAGTTTTCTTGTGCCTTTCAATGAAATAGTGGTATCTTTGAGGTTATGCTGCAACATGCAACACATTAAAGCTAGAAATGAGCCCTAGAATTTCGTTTTCGTACGCCTCTAAGTGCCATATTTGACCGGGCAAGCGCCCACGTCTAGATTAACCCAGTTTTCACTGAAAGTGCGATGGGTGCTTCCCTAATATTTTACGGTACCTTGGGATCTTAATGTGCATCACGGAGCGGTGATTACACGAGTGCGTGACTCATCACTAATAGGGAAGTGCACCGCACTGCTCTGAACTTGTGTACGTGCCACCCCAAAGCTCCTTAGAAATGCGAATTTTTCCGACGCACAGGTGCTCCGAAATGAGATTTTTTTCCCCACAGACTGGTAGCCGTTGCCAGGAAACAACTTTGTAGTTCCCCTGGCAATGGCAATGACAGATAAACTGGCAAGGACTAAGAGGCAAATCATATTAAGGAAGAGCAGCAAAGCAGGAATATGATCTTAAGTGGAAAATTCTGTGAAAGGGGTTACTGAAGATGATGGCAGAATATCACGCCATCGGGCATGAGCAATTTTAAACCCTGTTTCGGGTCTCAACCAATAAGATTGCTCATACCAAATTTTCTAGATTTTTTATGTTTGGATGTCTCCTGGCCATTGATATTTTAAACACGGGAAGCTTCTACGGCCTAAATCTAGAGTAATTGGCGCTTCCAATGTGGTGAGATGTTCTGGCTATGTTAAACGAGTATGAAACAGCACTAAATAAAAAACACAAAAGAACTTGCTCCCTGTTTACATAGAGGGCCGCCGACATGTCAAAAATAATTTATTGCCAGATAAATCCTGCATGTTTACAAACAAAACTTTCTGAAACCATTCTTTGGAAGTTAATAGACATAAACATATTTTTGAAAGAAAATGTTTTTTTCTGAAAAATTTGAATTTTGAGGCCTTAACTCCCTTCTTATCTCCGCTCAGTTTGGCCTAAAGTTTAGGTGAACTAAGTCTCGGGATTCTACGGCAGCTTAATTTCTATGGATCACATTATATAGCAAACCTACTAGTTTCTTCAGAAAAGAAACGCAACAAAAAGCCACACCAAACAGTCATTTCCTTCACATGGTCAGAAAGTGGTTATGTATTCTTATGTATCCCACACTCACGTACCTTGCGTCTTACATGGAGGAACCTTTGCCAGTGGCTGCTTGGAGAGAGACACTACTTTATTTTATGCACACAAGCCCTCCAACGAACATTGTGTCGCACGACTCTGCGACATCACGCGACATCCGGCGGTGTCACACGAGGCTCGGGACGCGCGTCAATGACGGACGTTGTGCATAACGTACATCACTTCTTGAGCGGGGTCACGAGCTGTAAGAAGAACACTTTTGACTCAACGACGGTTGTCCATTGTTTCCAGGAGCCCCCCAGGTGGCCGGCACCGGTCTCCAAGGCCGACCCGTCGCTCCAGGTCTCCCGCTGGAGGAGGCCCCAGGAGGCATGCACGCTCGAGCTCCAGTTCCTCACGCTGACAAGAAGAGGCCCCATTCGCCAGTAAACCATTAAAAAGCGGCTTCACCACCTCCCCATTGATACCGATCCGGGTTTCCGAGTCTGCTTCTTTCCGCGCGCACCACCACGGTGCCTGGAGTGCACCTCCAACCGGTGCGTCCTAAAAGTTCTCACGATCTTCACCTGATGACGTCGTAGAAGTTTCGCCGGTCGCGACCCTGGTGGTGTTGCAGCAGCAGTGTTGGACGCAGGAGATACGACGGCGACGCTCGCAGTTTCTGGTGCCCCTTTTTGGAAGTTTCTGTCCAACTGCCAGGATTGCCGCATCCGACGGCGTAACACTCCGGCTTTTGTGGCATCATTTGTGGTTACCTTGGGACCACATTCAATGCACGGGCTAATGGGATGCTGCACGCAACGGTCAGATGCGGTCCTGATGCCGTAGCACCTTACTTGTGAATTCGTCTGCCGAAGTTTCTTTGTCTGTCTATACGGCCGAAATGTACTTGTTGGCGCCTTCAGGCTAGCGGGTGAGATTTGGTTGTCGAAGTCGCCTGTCTACGGCGCAGCCTACTTGGTGCTGCATTTTCATCCTTTGTCGACGGTGGTACCATGTTGAGGGGGTTCGCATTTCCTATTTCGTGAACGATGAACTTCAGAATAACGGTGATGGAGGTGGTGGGCCGTTTGTGCTCAATTAAGCCGTGAATGAATAATGTCTGCTACGTCTTGCGTCAAAATGCCATATGTGCTAAGAATTGCACCACACAGGTGTCGAAATAGGTCTAAACAAAGCAAGTATATACAAATATTAAGGGGGGAAAAATTGTAAAAGTATGTATTTCTCGGCGTCCTACTAGCTTGTTTCACCTTGAGTCGGAACACAGTCGAAGGCTCGACACATACAATCACGAACATGCTAAAAATGCAAGGTGCGGTTCATTCCTTGCACAATTGATTTGGCCGATGTAAGCAAGGACACATAATGACGAAGAGTGCCTTGATGTTGCACTTTTAACAATCTTTTGACTGGTCCCAAGCTTGCAGTGTCGGCTGCACTTTGGCATAAAATGAACCTAAGTGCACTAAAATGAGTCTTTAGCGCATCAAAATGCATGGAGGGGTACGCCAATCATGGAGCAACGGAAAACACGCTGGCAGCCTACGATGATGAAGCAGCCAAGTGCAGACCATTATGGCTGAGGTGGGAGGCACTCACTTGATCGAAAGATGTTTTAGTGAATGCCGACGTTTCACCGAATGACACTTTAGCGGATAGTCAGCGGTGTATACGGGTCGGCCGAGTGGGTTAACATTTTTGTTGGGACGGGCGAATATTCGGTCATTACAAATAGCCAATCGAATTCTGTTCTATTCAGCATTCGCTTCGAATCGAATAAAAGTATTTGACAATATCGAAAACCCGACTGTATCGAACAATTTAGATCAAATTATTTCTTATATCGAGAAATTTTTGTGCACAGTAATGTTACAGTAATAATATATAGCAAAAGCTATGGTTGCATCGAACCAAAATAGCAGCCGCTATCGATATGTCTAACTGCAAAGAGCGCAGTTTTGCTCTGCAAGCTGGCTTTCCCCCAACGCGAGCGGTCGCATTGGGGGAAAGCCAACTTACAAAACACGCTAGCTTTTTTTTTTTTTTTTTTTTTTTTTTTCTGGGCGGTTGCGTTGACCGCAGAGAAGAAAATAAAATACGGCTTTTGCGGAGGGAGCGGAGAGAGGGTGCTCCGTGCTTCCTCTCCCTGCTCTATTCGCAAAAGAGAATATTTTTTTTTCTTCCAAGCAATTAACGCGGCCGCCCAAAGAAAAAAATACAAAAAAAAAACAGCTTGTTCAGACTGCTAGCTTGCTTCCCCCAACTTAGCCACCTGTTGTAAGGGAAAGCCAACTTCCAGAGCAAAACGGCGCTCTGCAGGAGAAGGTGCTCCCACTCGGGCGTGCTCCGTGCTATCGGCATAGTTCAGCGCTAATGCGCGGATATTGAAGGCAGCGGCCCCAGCATTTCGGAGTCTGTCGAGAGCTTGAAAAAATATCGTTATCGCGGATGCAATGAAGAAAAAGCAGCAGAAGATCCAAGATTACTTCATTGTGTAATATATCAGCAGAAAGTAGATTTTTGAGAGTCAAATTCATTAAAACTTTTATATCGAATTACCCGGTATGTCGAACTGATAGACGTTCTCTTGCGAGTTCGATATAAACGGGTTTGACTTACTCTGGCTTAAATTTCCAGCCAGGTGGCGCAAGCTTCCGACCATTTTGACCATTTCGTGCTCCCGAACTCGATACTCTTGGAATTAATAATTACAGTACTTCTAATACCAAATAAGGGCAAATATAAAACTATAGTTTAAACATACTTTTTGGTATTTGTTGCTTGCACTATTCGAACTATTCGATTCGAAATTATTCGGCCAAAATCACTATTGGCTTCGAATTCGATTCGGACCCAAAACCCTCTATTCACCCATGTCTACATTTTTTTAATCAGCTGCCACGAAGTGTCGTAAGTGCAGCGGGGGGGGGGGGGGGGGGGGGGGGGGAAGGGGGTAACAGCCCCCCCCCCCCCCCCCTCCGTTATTTGCTAAAACGTCATTCGCTCGTGATATGGGCCCGTCGGCGATACCAGGAGCTAAACGTCATGAAGAAATTTCTCAAAATAGTGGGAGAACGGTTGCTGTGGTGATGGAGAACCATTGTATTATACAACCTTCAGCTCCTCAGTCCAACGTAAGCGCGTTGAGCTTTACCGCTTACTACTTGATTTGTTCTGTGCCAAAGAGTGACAGTACTGGCAAGTATCGCAATATTTCTCGTGTTTGTAGTGTTCTGGTAACTTGGTTAGCTCTGCTGAGTGCGCTTCTTGCCGCACTTTGGTGCACTGCAGTGAAGCGAGAACGGCGGAGTGGGCAACGCGATTTTGCGTATCTCGCTTCACCGCGGCACACCCGCGTGACCCGTCCAGAGCGAGATGCCGCACATGCGGGCATTTGGTGTATTGAAAAAAAGGAGCGCTTACTGGGTGTTTATGTAATAACCTTTCCTTCAATTTTTTTTTCGGATTAAACCAGTGACAAGCATATATGGTAAAACGCAATATTCTGAATTTTTTTTCGAATTCTAAATTTAACCAGGATACTTGGGTATAAATTGTAAGAAGTTTTTTTATGAACTGCTTTCTAGGTATCTTTTTGTCAACTCTTGTTTAGTTATCACCTTCATATAATTTCCATCTGTGCGATGACACCAATTAAAGCTAAACTAGCTGGGGCAGTGGGTGGAAACTTTCGAATAACTTTAACGCATTTAACTGGACTTAAAAAAAAAAATGGGTTGTGTGTATGTGTATACAGCCTAGAACTTGCTCTGCCTCAACGTGCGACGAGTCTTTCCAGCCGTAGATGAGAAATTTAGCCAGTGGAGTACAACATCTAGCCTGGGGTCTTTAACGTGCACCATGCAGTAGTGACACTACCACACGGCGGTACGATGCTCATCCAGATCGAAACGGGCAGGGGTGGGGATTGAAGCCAGGACCCCTGGGTTCTGCAGCGCGAGCTTTCGATCTACGTGCTCCTAGCTGGTGTGCGCTAGCCCACTCGGCCACCGATGCCCCGAATGGATTTTAAGGAGGCATATTTATCGCTCACACAGATTTTTTTTTTATTATAAAGCTCTACATATAAAATGTCATCGATGTTCATAATCAAGTAACAAAATCTTTGGTTTTATCTTAAGAATTACAGTTTTATTACAAACTTCAGGATTTTAATGAAATCTTTGGTTTTATCTTGAGAATTACAGTTTCATTACAACCTTCAGGATTTTAATGAAATATTAATTTAGGTGCTTGATATTTTGTCTCAACATTAGCAGATGGTTGAGACAATTCAAATTTCTGTGGTGCCCATGTCTGCCGAAATCAGATTTCTTACGTTCCCCTAATCTAACTGCATACTGTGGTCCCCTGTTGATCATCCGAATTCCCGCCGTTTCCATCGGTTTTTTGACACTTTCAAGTGCTGTTTCTGAACAAAGTTTACGCACCCACCTTTGTGCAGAAACTGGGGTCTTGTCCTTTCCTCCTTGGGAATATAAAGCCCCTTGACTCTTCGCGGTTCTTACAAGTACCAGAAGCCAGTGTTCCAAGGAGCGAGATGTGCCAAGAGCGTGTGCTGTGCCCCCATTTGCCTCCAAGTACCGCACGGTGCTCGCAGCCTGTGCAGCTAGACAAACAAAGAGCTGATATGTTGGCCGTTGCATAATTAAAAGGTAATTCTGGGTGGATCTGTTTTTGTGAGGCATCTATGATATTTGCATGAAAGACTTTTATGACAAGATTCAAACTAATGGTGGCCGTACAAACATAATTACATTCTCTGGTAAAGTTCTGATAGGCTCCCCATCAAAAAATCTAATTTTTATGAGAAATTTTTGTGCCCAATAAACACATGAGTCATACAAGATATATAAGACCCTTATAAGAACTATGTAAGATATATAAAACATATAAGAACCGTATAAGAAGCTTGCGAGAAGTTCCTTATATGGTTCTTATACATTTTATATAGTTCTTATTTGGTTCTTATATGACCCATATATTGTATGGTTCATATGTGTTCATTGGACTCAAGAAATTTCTCATACATATGGCTTTTTCACTAGGGCTGCTTCAAGACCCTGCACGAAATAAACGAAGCAAATCGATAATGAGACCTGTTGTAAGGAATCTACAGTGTCTTGGTCAGTCCCAAAAAGATACCTGACATCGGCATTCCCTAGCACAGGGGTTCTCAAACATCTCGAGGGACACTCTGCTGCCTTTTGTGACGAACAAACCCTCCCACCTCCACCCCACCCCGTCACGCCACTGACACAGTGGAGTAGTTAAGAAGCTGATGGACATTGTAAACAGTAATGCTGATTAATGAGTGTTTGGCAAGCAGTAATGCACAAGAGAGTCCGAGATCTGCTAACCCTTACAAAGATAAAATGAGTTGCAACTGAAATTGTAAAAAATTCATTCAATACACCGTATCTATCCCTGAGTAAAAAAAGAGGTC